CTATCCCGATAGTGGATCCACTGGCCGGGGAGCCCTCTACTCCGGCAACAGCGACGGACAAGGCAGTTGGGGGGGTGGGCGTGGGGGGTGCTTCATCAACCGAACCCCTATGCCTGCTCCCTGACGCTTCTACGCAGAGGGGTGGCATACTTCCACCTCCGGAGCTGCCAGTGACCGCGCAGGGTGTTGGCGAGGGTAGCGCCTCCCTCAGCCACTCCCCAGCGCCGGACATTGCTGAAGATCGCAACGACAAAGCTCTGAGCCGACCAGACAGCCCACCCATGTCTCCCATGACTGCGGTGGGAGACCCTGGAGTTGCAGTGGCACTAGCTGGCTCGGGGGGTCCTTCACCGGCACCTACCCCCCAAGCTGGCATGGACTTCCCAGCGGGATCAGACAACGCTGGAGCCCTCCTACCGGCTGCACCGGCCTCACCGACGCCCATGGCAGGGCCAGCGGAGCTGCAGGCGGCTGTAGATCAAGCCTCACCACCTGCGACACCGACTGCGACTTATATAGAGAAAGTGATCATATCCGTGGATACTTCTACCTCGGCAGTTGGGGAGTTGGCGCCTGCAGTTACAGCATCGCCCATCAAAGCACCACGTCGCAGCTCTAGGAATGCGTCATTGGCGGACGCCCATACCCTACAAAAGGCTGAACGGTTGGCAGCAAAGAAGAACCTTGAATTCACAGGTAACTCTTTCACTAGCTTTCCAGATTCCAAAATTTTATCAAACCTTGATAGGGTAGGCATCAACCTAGGTACCTCAGATGTAGTTTCAATCAAAAACTTAGAGGTAGGCAGGTTAGTTTTATGTGCTAATACAAAAAAAGGTTCTGCTAAATCTAAACTCCCCAATCTTGAGAGTGATGATGAGCAGGATGACCTAATTGATGCAATTCTCAGCCACGCCAGTGGAAATCCAAATGAGAATTTGCTGGAGGAGGAGAATGATCAAATCATAGATCTCTCTCCACTCCGACGGAAGAAAAAATATAATAATGCCAAATATACTTTTAATGGCAAAATTCCCAAGAAGCCAAAGACCCCCTCAAAAATTATTATAAAATGAAGGGAGTTTTCTGGAATAGCAGAGGTCTAGCAGACTTGGCTAAGCATAGGTTTTTGGCTGAATTAGTTAAGGAAGAGCAAATTAATTTTATTGCTCTATCCGAAACAGGTCGGGACTCATTCCCGGATCATGTTCTCAAAAATCTTTGTGGGGGACATGATTTTCTTTGGCACACCATGGCACCCCACGGTAGATCTGGGGGCATCCTGCTAGGTGTGGACCTGAATGCTTTTGACATTGGAGCTATTGCTGAGGGAGATTTTTATGTAAAATTCACCCTAAGAGTCAAATCAAATGACTTCAAATTTGTGCTATATCGGTGTATGGGCCAAACAACTCCGAATAAGAGTGCTTTCCTAGTAGAACTTGCCAACACGTGCTCCAAAGAAACCCTTCCATATATGATAGGAGGAGATTTCAACATAATGCGAAGCCCGGAAGATAAGAGTTACGAGGACTTGACCCTAAATGGCCAAATCTTTTTAATGTCATTATTGAATCTCGGATCTTAAGGAGATCACAATGGCAGGCCGTCAATACACATGGCGGGGGCAGGGGATAATCCAACTTTTGAAAAGTTAGATAGAGTTCTCGTTAGCACGAAATGGGAAATCATGTTCCCATTGACAACAGTAGAACCTAGGGATAGGTATATTTCAGACCACACACCCCTAGTGCTTAACATAGGTGCTTCAACCCACCAGACTCACAATCGTCCTTTCAAATTTGAGAGGGATGGTTGATACTGAGATGGATTTTATGATATGGTTGCAAATATTTGGCAATCTCCATGCTCTGGTCAACCCCTCTTGAACGTTGGCAATTCAAGACCCATGAGACTCAGACAATATCTAAGAAATGGGCCAAACACACGGCGGGTCATATCGAAAAGAAAAAAAAGACTCATTAGCTCTTTTAGACAATCTTGATAAGAAAGTGAGATCTCTCCCTTATCTGATCAAGAGATTAATCTGAAGCATTATCTAAAAGAACATTTAGTTAACCTTCTGAGAGAAGAGGAACTAAAATGGTATGAGAGAGCCAAAGTTAAAACCCTCTTGGAAGGGGATGCTAATACTCGGTTCTTTCATCTAGTCGCCAATGGGAAACATCGCAAGCAACATATCTATAAACTTGAAAATGATCAAGGTGTTGTGATCGGTGATGATCATCTCAAAAGTCACATTACGACTTATTATAAAGAACTCTTTGGCCAGCCGGATAATTTCGATATCTCCCTTAGGGAAGACCAAAACCTGGATATCCCACAGGTATCACCGGAGGAAAACAACATCCTCATTAGCCCGTTCACTGAATCTGAAGTGAGCGAGGCAGTCTTCCAAATGGAGCATAATAAAGCTCCAGGGCCGGATGGTTTTCCTGCATAATTTTATCAGGTGTTCTGGGGAGTCATCAAGGATGATCTTCTACCCTTATTTGCTGAACTGCATAGGGAGGCTCTTGATCTCTACAGTCTGAATTTTGGTATTATTACCTTAATCCCAAAAGTGAATAATGCCATAAAAATTCAGCATTACAGGCCAATTTGTGTTCTTAATGTGAGTTTTAAAATATTCACTAAAGTGGGCACAAATAGGCTTAATATGGTAGCTAAAACGGTGGTGAGGCCAACACAGACTGCCTTTATGCCAGGAAGGAACATAATGGAAGGGGTCGTTATCTTACACGAAACCATCCATGAACTTCACACCAAAAAGAGAGACGGTGTCATTTTCAAAATTGATTTCGAAAAGGCATACGACAAAGTGAAGTGGTCTTTCCTACAACAAACGCTACGAATGAAAGGTTTCTCCCCCAAATGGTGTCGATGGGTTGAAACTATGGTCACCGGAGGAAGTGTGGGAATCAAAGTCAATGAGGACGTTGGACCCTATTTCCGCACCAAACGTGGACTCGCACAAGGAGATCCATTGTCACCAATCTTATTCAACATCGTTCTTTGATATGCTAGCTCTTCCGATTAATGAGCAAAAGCCGATGGTCGATAAGAGGTGTCGTCCCCCACCTTATAGATGATGGTTTGTCCATACTACAATATGCGATGACACAATTATCTTTATTGATCACGACCCGAACAAGCACAGAATCAAATGTTGCTTTGCGCTTTTGAACAACTATCTCTGGGCTGAAGGTCAACTTCCACAAGAGCGAAGTCTTACGCTATGGTCTTTGCTAAAGAGATGGAATCCTTTTATACTAGTCTCTTTGGATGCAACGCAGGGAATACCCTTCAGATATCTAGGGATCCCAATGCACCATAGACAACTCCCCGAACTTTGAATGGAGAAAGGTGGAAGATCGTTTCAAACGAAACTCTCTTGTTGGAAAGCAAAATACCATCATATGGGGGTAGACTAGTTCTGCTTAATTCAGTCTTAAGCAGCCTACCTATGTTTATGATGTTCTTCTTTGAGATCCCTAAGGGGGTCATTAAAAACCTAGATCATTATAGATCAAGGTTCTTCTGGCAAGGCTCCTCAGATAAACATAGATATCGCCTTGCCAGATGGGACATCCTTTGTCGTCCAAAGGACCAAGGAGGATTAGGTATCCTAAATTTACAATTGCAAAATAAATGCCTTCTAGCCAAATGGCTGGTTAATCTTCTAAACACAGAAGACATATGGCAATCTCTTTTACGGAATAAATACCTAACCTCCAAGAGCCTAACTCAGGTGGCAGCCAAACCCAATGACTCTCATTTTTGGAGAGGCCTCATGCATATCAAAGATGAGGTGCTGGCTAATGGTTCATTCGATATTAAAGATGGAGCCAACACTAGGTTTTGGGACGACACATGGGTAGGAGATAAGCCTCTGAAAGTTAAATATCCATCTTTATATAATATAGTGCGGGAACCTCATGCAACAGTCTCAAAAGTGATGACTACTAGCCCACTAAACATCTCTTTTAGAAGGGCTCTGGTGGATAATAAACTTACAGAATGGCTTAGTTTAGTAGCACGGATCTCAAATGTCGCATTGGTGGAAGGTTCGGATTACTTCAGATGGAGTTTAACCAAATCAGGTTTGTTCTCTGTCCGCTCAATGTATCTCTATCTTATAGATACGCAAACACCTTTTCGTCATAGGAAGATCTGGAAGATAAAAATTCCTCTAAAAATTAAAATCTTTCTTTGGTTCTTGCAAAGGGGTGTCGTCTTAACCAAAGACAACCTCGCTAAGAAAAATTGGAAGGGGAGTCAAAAGTACATCTGCTGTAATGGGAATGAAACTATCCAACATTTGTTCCTAGACTGTCCCCTTACCAAAATGATTTGGAGGATTATCTTTTTTTGCTACTAGTTTGACCCAACCTAGATCAATCAGCCACATGTTTGGTAGTTGGCTGACTAATCAAAATAAAAGGATTAGAAATTTGATTTGGGTGGGGGTGGCTGCCATGTTTTGGGCTATCTGGAGATGCCGTAATGATGTTGTTTTTAATCAAATGAAATCTAACTCTATTATGCAGGTAATTTTCAGAGGAGCGTACTGGTTACGCTCTTGGGCCCAGCTGCAGCGTGATGAGACAGCCAAGGACGCGCTCTCAACGATGAGCAAGAAATTGGAAATTATTGCTTTAGAGATATCCAATAAAGGATGGAAATATTTATGTTGTTTGAACTAAAGACTATGGCTTTCTTATTTTTTTCATCTAAAACTTTGTAATAATGGGCTGTGTACATCCTTGGATGTAGAGGCTGGATATTTGTTTTATCCATTATCTAAAAAAAAAATGTATGTTGCATGAGGTTTGAATGGCCATAGCTGTACGCGGGTACGCACTAGCAAGGAATTAGCACTAGCTTTACTTTGCTTTTTGCAGGGAGGTCTTTGTACGGAGCAGAAACAGATCTAGGAAATCAACCTACAGAACCAATAGGAGCAGAAACAGAGATCTATGGAGCTTGCCGAACTACCGTTTCGACTGTTAGAAGAAATTACAGAAGGTTTCTCCGAAGGGCGACTTCTGGGCACTGGCTCATATGGAAGGGTTTACAAGGTAACTTCTTGAATTATAGAGTATGTTGTAAGATTGAAAGTGTAGTTATATTCTCTACACGACTACAGAATGTACAACGTGAAGTATAGTTCAACCTTTGATTTATAAATTTTAATTATGTCGAGAGTTTCAAGTTTCGCAATACGTCTTATTTGTTCCCGAATAATCAAAACTTGCAAAGTCTTGCCGCTTGATAAGACAGAATCAAAGCTGTGTTGATGTACTGATACTACATCTTGAGCAGGGAGTACACAAAAATGGAGATGAGGTTGCTGTGAAGAGGCTTTCTTATGATCTTGAAGATGAGCAGTTCAAGGAGTTACGAAACCATATGAGGCTCGATCATCCAAACATTGTGCGGGTAGTTGGCTACTACGATGAAACACAACACAAACAAGTAAATTACGAAGGGAAATTTGTTGTAGCGGAAGTGAGGCACAGAGCGCTCTGCTTAGAGTATATGCACAATGGGAGTCTTCAGAAGCATCTTTCTGGTTAGTACGTACTACAACTCAGTGAGAGGTAGTTGGTGTATACATGGATCATGACATATCTAAATAGCGTTAATTAGTACTCTATCCCTTTTTCAGATGAATGTGACGGACTTGACTGGCATACACGTTACAAAATAATTAAGGGGACATGTGAGGGTTTAAAATACCTTCACGAGGGATACACCATACCTATATTCCATTTGGACTTGAAACCAGACAATATATTGCTAGACAGGAACATGGTGCCGAAACTTGCAGATTTTGGCGTGTCCCCTTTCGGACGGGCTCAAACTCACGACATACGAGGGCCTATAGGAACAATGTAAGCCGAGTCATCTGAATCTAAACTAAGTCTTGTTTTGTTAACTAAAATGCAGTTTTGTAATAAGCACAATAAGTGTTTGTCCACGCAGTGGATATATGGCACCAGAATGCTTGGATGGTCTGATATCAGCAAAGGGAGACATATACAGCCTGGGAGTGGTAATGATAAAGATAATTGCAGGACCAGATGGACAGACCAAAAGTGCTGAAATGCCTCCGCAGGAATTTATTGATCAAGTAAGAAACAATAAATGTGGTTTTGCTTCAACGCTTCATGTGGTCAATGGTCATTTGTATACCAACTTCACCTAGGTGCAAGCCAACTGGCGGAACAGGTTGCAGACTAGATGGAGTTCATGGCTACACGCGTACTGCCAGCAAGTAAAAATATGCACTGAGATAGCACTGAAATGCATGGAGTTTGATCGTGCTAAAAGGCCGCCTATGTCGGCAGTTATCCATAGGTTGAATGAGATGGAGACCATGATTGAGGAGTTGAAAAATGAGCCAGAGTCACCACTGGATAAGGTAACTACTATCGTTGTTGTATACAATATAATTGCCACCGTACTATTATGTTAGAGCTCAACATTAAAATTAGCATTCAAAGGTGTCGCCTTGCGAAATGTGGAAATACGATCAGATGCCCCAATGACATGTCGTGCATTTTTTTTCTAGAACACGACTTCACATGTATTTCATTAAGAACAAGGAGCATAGTACAAGTACACAGTCATCCGATGGCGAGATGCCTGGATAAAGTAAGCTACAACCCCCTTGGGGCGTCACAAGACAGCACATGATGATGAATTTGCGACAACAGGCGAAAAACCCTACGGCGTCACCGCAGCCACCATAAACACCGAGAGTGCCGTAAAGCCCACAGCGATCCACTCATCTCCCTCCTCCAACACCCGTCGTGCTGCCTGAGTCACCGTGCATGGCGCATTGTCGAAGACGCGGGAGTTAGGTTCCTTCCACAATTGCCAAGAGACGAGGAGCACTGCTGAGTCGAACCCCTTGCGCAGTTGTCTTGGCACCTGGCATCTCGCGTCCATCCACCAGACTGAGAGCACCTCCCCTGGCATTGGCGTGATCCGTTCCCAACCGATGGAACATAGCAGTCGGCACCAAAGCTCTTTCGCAAAGACGCAGGAGGCAAGCAAGTGATCGACCGTTTCATCTTCCTGACCACAAAGCGCACAATTGGGGACAATCCTGCAGGCCATGCCTCTTCCTGCGTTCGGCTGTCCAAATGCGACCATGTAGAGCCAACCAAAAGAAAAACTTGACCTTCGGCAGCGCCGAGGCCTTCCAAAGCTCCTTGGCTTCCAACAAGGAGGAAATACCCAGGAAGAACGAGCGATATGCCGAGGACGTAGAGTAGGTGCCATCCGGCGTCCATCGCCAAATGAACCGATCGCTCACGCTTTTCCCAGAGGTCGACGTACAGAACCGGCGCAGTGTGTACTCCAGTGATATGACGCACCCAACGGCACCCAGCGAGCGCCTCCTTGACGGACACCTTGAGGAAGCGGTGGCTGATCGCATGGAACAAGTGAGGTGCGAAGGACGCAATTGGTCCCGCCGGCAGCCAAGAATCTGACCAGAACCGGGCCGAGACACCATCGCCCAGCTCGACGACGACGAAACAGCTGAACATGGCACTTACAAGTTTCTCCGGCTTGGAGGGAAGCTTTGTCGATGGGGGTGCATCAGCGCTCCTCTTCTGCCACTCCCACCTGAGGCGTAGCACTACCGGAAACGTTAAATTTGCCGAGTGTTTTTATGTTTATCGAGTGTATTTCTTCAGGCACTTGGCAAACAAATCCTTTACCGGGTGCTATACTAAAAACACTCGGCAAAAAGAGTAGTTTGCCGAGTGTCAATCAAAAAACACTCGGCAAATAGAGAGTTTACCGAGTGTCGTAAAAAAACACTCGGCAAAGAAGCGGGTTTGCCGAGTGTCAAAAACAACACTCGGCAAACCCAAAAATATAGAAAAAAATGCCCCTCCTCCCCAGCCCCACTCCTCCCGCACCCAGCGCCCAGCCTCCCCAAGACCCCCGCACCCCGCCCCCCCTCCTCCCGCACCCCCCTCCTCCCTTCTTCTTCACACTTGGCGCCGCCCCTCCCCTCCTCCTTCTTCTTCCCTGCCAAGGCGCCAAATCCGCCCCTCCTTCTTCTTCCCCACCGGCGCCCGACCCTCCCCTTCTTCTTCCGGGCGGCCATGGATCCGACCCTCACCTCCCTCCCTTCTTCTTCCCCCGCCGCGCCAACCCTCCCTTCTTCTTCCGGCGGCCATGGATCCGCCCTCTCACCTCCCTCCCTTCTTCTTCCCGCCGCAACCGCCCCTCCCTTCTTCTTCCGGCGGCCGTGGATCTGGCCCCTCACCTCTCTCCCCTTCTTCTTCCGCCGCGGATCCGGCCCCTCCCCTCCCTCCCCTTCTTCTTCCCCGCCGGCAGCCGCGGATCCAGCCCCTCCCCTCCCTCCCCTTCTTCTTCCGGTGGCCGCGGATCCGGACCCTCCCCTCCCTCCCCCAACAGCGAGATCCAGGGAGGGGCCCGGCGGCAGCGCACCCCAGGTGGCCGAGGGGACGGCGGCGCGGGCCAGGGGCGAGCTACAGCCCCCTGGCCGAGAGAGGCGGCGCGGTGGCGGGGGGCGTGGTGGCGGAGGCGGATGCGGCGTGGTGGCACGGGTGCACATCGAGGCGTCGTGGCCGTGCCATCATCGGCACCCGCAGCCTCGGAACCCGCCGATTCCGTCGCGGGCGCGCATCCGAAGCGGGGGGCGTCGGCAGTGGAGGCCGCGTCCCTAGATCCCGCGCGAGGGAGAAGTGGAGAGTGGTCGGCGGGCGCAGCGGGGAGAGGAGGCACCGCGACGGCCGACGACGGGGAAGGCGCCGCCAGGTGCGGCTCGCCGCGCGCCCCAGCCCGTGGACCGCGTGAGGAAGAGAAGGATAGGGGGCGGAGGAAGCAAAGGAGGGTGGGGAGGAAGGGGAGGGGGAGGGGGAGGGCGGTGGCCTGAAGGGGCCCGCCAGTGGCAGCTAGGGTTTCAGGGCTGGGTCGCTCCGCCGCGGGCCTAGCCGAACATGTGAGCTTCTATTTCAGGTATGTCGCAGTATGTATCAAGTTGTATTTACAAATTGCAATCAAATTAACTAGTTAAGCTGCTTGAAGCTAACATTATTTCATAGCTGACATCCTGGCCAGATGATCCATACTTGTATTTCCACAAGGAATGCCTATAGAAGTAAGAAGTGATGTATTCAGCTCATAGATGCTCAGTGTAATAAGCAGTTTCAGCATTTCATCACCTAGTTTCTGTCTGCTCGTTGTCATTTCATTATTTCTGAATGTCTAAGCTTTACTTCTCATTATGCTATCTCTGTAATGTTACAGGCTTCATTCTGCTGGGCATTTGTTGGACATCTGTGTCCACAATGTAGGCCTCTTTCATCTGCAACCTGGGAAAAAGGCTACCATTTTCCTGATGGGTATGATTACTTATTTTTTAGTGCTTTTATTCTTTTGTTCTTTGTATTACTAGCATTTGGGTCCAGCTGTTTAAACTAACTGCTGGCATTTATGTCAGTTTAGTTGGATTCCAGTTGTTTTCAGAGTATGTTTTCTAGTGTAATTTGTTGTTCTAATGATCATGACTGAAAAAACTGATGATTGCTTTTTCTTAGCTAGTTAGCCAGCTAGGTGTAATTTGTTTTCTGAATATAGTCTTTTGTTTTTTCTTAGCTAGCTAGCCAGCTAGTGTAATTTGTTTTCTGAATACAGTCTTACTATTATTATTGGAGTTCACTTGATTGGCCTTTCTGCTAGTGTCATCTTGACTGAAAACTGATGTGAATTTTTTATTAGTTATAGGTAGTCTCTGGATTATTATATTTCAATTGATTGATCAAAGTTTTATTTAACTGATGGATGATTTCTGTTACATTTCAAATTGTATGGTATTGGAATGCATATCTGACATGATTGCATTTGTATGCAGATGCCAAGCGTCTCATCGGCAGGAGGTTCTCTGATGCCTCTGTCCAGAGCGATATCAAGCTGTGGCCCTTCAAGGTCATTTCTGGGCCTGGTGAGAAGCCAATGATTGTTGTCCAGCACAAGGGTGAGGAGAAGCAGTTTGCAGCTGAAGAGATCTCCTCTGTGGTTCTCATCAAGATGCGTGAGATCGCTGAAGCTTACCTTGGCAGCACGATCAAGAATGCTGTTGTGACAGTCCCTGCCTACTTCAACGACTCACAGAGGCAGGCCACAAAGGATGCTGGGGTGATTGCTGGCCTCAATGTGCTGCGTATCATCAACGAGCCAACTGCTGCTGCTATTGCCAAAGGACTGAAATATGCTGAGAAAAAAATTATTTTTTTTCTTTGGAAAATAGGTTTGCCGAGTGCACGATAAAAAACACTCGGCAAATAGCTGTTTGCCGACACACAGATGTCGTGTGTTGTATGCCGAGTGTTACACTCGGCAAAGCAGTATACCGAGTGTTTTTGGGACTTTGCCGAGTGCCCCTGGCACTCGGCAAAACTACTGTATCCCGTAGTGTCCCGTAGTGTAGGGCGAAGCCGAGAATCCTAATGTCTGGCATTCCTAAGCCACCATAGCATTTTGGCGAATACACCACCGGCCATGCGACCTTACATTTTCCTCCAGCTGCT